CTCCCGGTTAAGCATCTCTTATAAATAATTCCTGATTTTGTCGACAGAATCACTACATTCCTCCTGGAGTCAAACAATAAGGTCTTAGATGAAGCCTCGAAGGGCCTCACTTCCAAGCGTGTAAGACTGTGTCGCTGGAAGGAGAATATATACAGTTGGTAATTGTTGTTTGGGTCTCTTTGTGCACACAGAACATTTATCCTCAGTTCTTGTGTGTTACCGTGCTTTTGGAAGAGTGATGGAGGTTTGCATATTCGTAAACGGCCAACGGATTTAGTTGAGTCAGCATATGACAGTCCAGCAGCCGGTGTCTCGTACGCGTCATGTCCCTGCCTTGCGGTCAGATGGGTATTGTTAAATGGAAACACTTTTTTGGATGGACACACTTCCCTGCAAGATCTACTTCCAATGTTCTTGATGTAGATCACTGTTGTATGATACACCAGGCGCACTAAGGCAACTGATGGTGGTGCTTTCTCAGACCCAAAGACTGTGGCAAATAGATGACAACACTTCATCACATTTCTGTTTGGTCTCCACACGGCAGTAGTGCACGACTCCTCCGAGCAACAACTTAATATACATTGTTTTTCACTCTGAGTCAGGTTACGATCATCTTGCAGAATACCGTTTGGACACGATACCACATTGTGACTACGGGTTGGGTGAATATTAGCCAGCAGACAGCTCAGTAGAAAAGCACTGGCACCGTCCATGATTACCGAGAGTCTGGAACAGCTACTATGCAAACCTGAAGATAAAGTTATTATCAACCTAATAGAAAGAATACATACATATCTTATGAAGGCATATAGATCCCGTGGGAAGACAGACATTTTAACGCACCTGACAGAAAATCATTTACGCTGACTGACTCCTGAAAGAGTTCCCACCAAGACGCGCTCGAAGGTATAAATCAGATTATAAATCTTGTATGGCCGCCATAAAATAAAAGTTGATGGCCGCCATAAAATAAATGGTATTCACTCGCGCACGTATGTGTGTCTGTGCGTGTGTATGCATGCACCTATACTTTCTTTGTGTGCGACGTTTCAAATTGTGGCCTTGATTAGATATTGATTAGATGCTAAACTTTGGCAATTTAGATGATTTTGAAAAGCGATTCTCTATCTCAAAATCTATTGAGTACAATTTGCCTAATCTCGTCATAAATGCCTGTCTTGGAGGATGACCTGCTATAACACCACGTGTCAGTTTTGTTGTATTCCAAATTGATGCATGTTTTCTTGAAGAACAATTGTTGACATTAACGTGTGGAACATTTGTCAAACAGTAGGAAGTATATGCTTCAGAAAATATATGAATAAAGAATAATCTGATGCTGACAACCACTTTCTGAAAGTGCCGATTATTATATATTCAGGTAAACTACTGTACCATGGCAATCTGTAGAGAACGGCGAGCCCTGATCAGCATCCAGATTACAAAGCTGATAACTTGTTTACTTGTTTATTCCTTTAATAGGCCAACGGCCAACATAACAAATACATCATACATACTGTCAAAAGCGCATTGCCAACATTTGCCTCCCCCCTCCCCCCACCCAACCCAACCCACTTGCAAAGACCTTTCGTGACAGAAGATAGCACTAAAAAGGAAATAAACATTCATGGATAATTCAGATTATAGTTTTGCTTTACCTGAAATATATGATAAACAAATTTGGCTAAGTTGAAGGTTAATACTTCAACTTTAGTTTGTAAAAGACTTATAAACTTCATCATGTTTGGAGACTTGTATACGTCCAGAGGTAGGTAGCGACGTCTAAATGTCAAGTACTTAGGATAAACATGATAACATGATATTCATCCTCTATGTCATTTTTGCAAAAAAGGACATAATCGGTTTTCTAAAGCTAGTTTTGGTCGAGCCCATCTTCCTTTCTCAATCATAAGTGAATAGGAAGATAATCGTAGTCGTGTCAAGGCTACCCTATAGTTTATAATATCAATTTGAGATAAATACTTTTCCATGGTAAGTGATGATTTGATAAGCAAATATATATATTGTTTCACTAAGTGAACTGACATTATATTTCCACATTTGAGAATGTATATCAATAACCCTTTGTCTAAAAGCACTGATAAATGCTGTTCAATTTAGAGTCACTTTCTGTTGTAACCAGATAAAACCATATCCATAATGAAACAACAAGTCTCTAATGAGAGTAACCCATGTCGTATATGTTGGATTCTGCCGAGCATTGTCGACTAGAGCCCTATATATAATGCTTATATATCGGTTTCCGTCACAGGTGATAATCTTAATCCAATATTTCACAATGCGTACCAATCTATTGGTAATCAATGGCAGTACGCCCATTTCACTGATGGACAAAAACTTTTAGCACGCAGAATGGCGTTGATAAACTTTATGGATTTCGATAGCTGGCGCTTCCATAAATCCCCGAACTAAACAGCCATAGCATAAAATTGGCAGTACCTGGCTTTAAACTTGATACTGCGCAGCTATATGGATTGGACAACAATATTCGTTGTAACGAAAATATGGATTTCATAGCCTGCTCTGATAGAGTCTTTTTGAAACTATTAACATTTGCTGAGAAGACAATACCAAATATTTGAAACTATTAACATTTTCTAGTACCTGATCACCATAATACCCACTTGTCGCAATATCTCTGTAAGAAACCAAGACCACGCTGCAAGCCCTCGACGGATTCACTGAACAAGACCATATCATCAGCAAATAATAACATAAATAGCTTGATGTAAAACACTGTCATGCCAATATCATTGCAAGCAGAGAGGTCAGACACAATATCATTTATAAACAATGAAAATAATATAGGCGATAAATTTTCCCCTTGCCTTACACCTAATATTTGATGAAAAGAACTCTGAATACCTATTTCCGGGAAGTTTAACACAAGAGGACACATCTATGTATATATTTTTAATAAATGATAGAAATTTGGAACTAATACCCAAAGAATAGAGTTTAAACCAAAGGGCTTGCCTATCAACATAGTCAAATGCTTTTCGAAAATCCACAAAAGCACAATATAATTATAACGTCAGTTGCAATTCAACCTTCAGAGGTTCGGGACAATTTGTCAAAGTGAAAGCAAATGTCATCAGAAGAAACTGAGAAACCAATGAGTGAAATGCTAAACTTCTCGATTGATAACACCCCAACATTTGGGGTAGACCATTTAGAGTGAGTGAGTGAGTATGGTTTTACGCTGCTTTTAGCAATATTCCAGCAATACCACGGCGGAGAACACCAGAAATTGGCTTCACACATTGTGCCCATGTGGGGATTCGAACCAGGGTCTTCGACGGGACGAGCGAACGCTTTAACCACCAGGCTACCCCGCCGCCCCAAACCATTTAGAAAAGATATAGACATCCGTATGGGCACCAATTGTGCTCCCCTCCTTGCGGATCTGTTTCTTTATGCACATGAATCAGAATTTCTGCTTGGGTCGGCAAAATCAAAAGAAGGTAACAACGCAAAGAAGATCAACTTATTCTTCAAGTATATCGAATTTCCTTCAACCGATTTGCCCGTAAATGACACAAAGAACACTTTCAACCTTCATGTCGAACGATATTCCAATCGCTCCAGCCTTTGGTGTTTACGTTTCACAGTTCAAGAGGTACAATCGAGCAGGCTCTTTTCACCAAGATTTCAAAGATATTCTTATCAAGTATACTATGACGGTTACAGCATTCACGTCCCCAGTAAAACATACCAAAGGTTTCACGGGGGACACGTGGACGCGATTTGACGCAGCAATGACCAAATGACGTCTGATTTCATTCCCTATTTCGACTTCCCTAGAACAATAGACTAGCTTTTGCGTATGTTCATGCTATCGGTGAGGCAGGATACGCTCGCCTTTTCACGAACGCCTGGTATCATCATTATATAATGATAGTACTCACAAACACATGCTCAAGATATAGTCGAGATTGCAAATCGACTTTAGCAGAGATTTATTACGGATGTGGAAACGATTTTGTCGCTTTTATTTATTTCTACCGGTATATCTTGCGTTTAATACCGATGTCACATTAATCGATTATTTAGGCAAGACCAGGGCCCCAATCCACAAAGCGTTCGTAGCGCTACGACATTCGAAAGCCTATGATTAACTATAGAGTTACGACAGGTCGTAACGTTACGAACACTTTGTGGATCAGGACCCTGGTCATGTTATTTTGATCGCAAATACGTATCACTGTCGTTAAACTAGTCACAATATGGCACATATAAGATATATGTAATCCATTCTTTGACAACAAAGGTTCGTTTGAAGGAGCCAAAAGGAATAATACTAACAGGACCCATGGCGTGTGTGTGTGTGTGTGTGGGGGGGGGGGGGGATCTTGTGGTCAGATTCGCTGACTTGGTTGACACAAGTCATCCCAGTTGCGTAAATCGATGCTCAGGCGTAGGTCACTGAATTGTCCAGACTGCCGGCATATAGCTGGAATATTGCTGAGTGCGGCGTTCAACTACAAACGAACATATCACCTCCATCCTACCAATTTAGTCCCATCATATTATTATTTCCCACCATCGACCCGCAAATGTATTTTTGTACATGACAAATAATAGTTGTGTCCTATCGTACTTCTTTATCACACATTAGAAGATAACGTTGGAACTAAAAGCCCTCTGAATCTTTAACAGATATAGAATATAAAATTATCGCGTATTCGATCATATTGGAGGTACATGTTTTATGAGTGTTGTTGCCTAGCAACATTTTTAGGCAATTTCTTTTCCACATTGAAAAGTAAATATTCTGCAAACAGAACACATGACATTAAATGTCGCTTTTCTGCTGTGCACTGTACCCTTAAGGCCACTTAAATATTCTGCAATAAACAATGGTTGACGTGTAATGTACCCATTACATATCACGTGACAGCAGTGAAGGAGTAAAATCATTTTGCAATATAATTGTACTAAACGTTTATTTCAGACCGATTGTGCTGCAGTTTATCAATGTTGGCAACTGGGGACATTGCCCACCATGTCGCAGTTGTTGATGGCTGGGTTGAAGACCGTCCCGGGAGCACAAGGTATTCTGTAGGTGTTGTGGTTGGCACAGTCGAAGAAGTATTTGCAGTCGGTCGGGTCGGTGTGCACGCCGTCGTCTTTGTCGGCACAGAAAGTGTGTATGTCTGAAATGCGTGAGTTCACGAATGTATACCACAGAAAGTTAAACACATAATTCTTTGAATACGATAACAAGTTAGACTACGTGGTGTTCCATGAACGCTATGGCTGACAGTCTGGCTTCTGTGAGAAAGTACTCTTAATTCCAGCATACATTTATATAAAGGGATGGATGGATGCCGTGGGTTTATATAAAGTAAGGGATCCACTGAATTTAATGTGGCTTCCATTGAGGTCTGTATTGACAATGCCTCTGACTGAACTTCAGAGCACATAAAACCCAGAGCATAATGAATTTTGAACAGCATGTTCGCGGCGTTAACAACAATCAAGACAAAACATGTTAAGTTGAATAAAATTAATTGATTGGTTTCGTGCATGCTCCGCACAACTTGTGAATAGTCGGATATTGATCCCCAAGTTTGAGAACAGATAAACAATTATTTACCGGCTATACATCTTCACTATCATCAGTTCCCCTACTTTTGTCATATTCTCTAACGAGAGCAATTGATATTATTATTGTATCGATATGAAACAGACACGCGCATACTCCACTCTATATCACGCAAATCAACATTTAGCGTTGTACTGACCTTTGTAATGAGAGGTGAGTGTGACGTCAATAATGACAGTCCTTGACGTTAACGTTAAAATTTATGACAGTTGTGAGAAATGTGATACTGGGTTGTATTTGGCGTCAATACCATAGAGCGTGTTAAATAATAATTAAATGCGCACTTCGTATGGATTTTACTCTCGTTCTTAAGAAACAAAGCATCCGGGTTTCTGGACATAGATTTGCACATGTTCAATTACTTATAAGAAACAAAACACGTATAATGAGATTAGTTTGACGCCGCTGTTAGCAACATTCCAGCAATATCACGGCGGGGGACACCACTTAAACCCCTAGGCTACCACACCCTATTACACATAGATAGAGGACCCGTGAAGGTCCGGGTGAGAATTGATCTTCAGTAACCTGTGCTTGTCGTAAGAGACGACTAACGGGATAGGGTGGTCAGGTTCGCTGACTTGGTTGACACATATCATTGTATCTCAACAGCGTAGATCGATGCTCAGGTTGTTGATCACTGGATTGTCTGGTCCAGACTCGATTATTTACAGACCGCCGCCATATACCTGGAATAGTACTGAGTGCGGCGTAAAACTAAACTCACCCACTCGCCATTATGTGATAGAAGACCATGCAATCGTTGCTCATGCAACGGTTAAGATTCTGACACGGCCACACAGTGGTAATAGTTCTGCTTACGTAACACCCGTTTGACCTGGACACTTACTGACGTTGCCGGGAGCCTGGGTGTGTGTGGGCGCGTTAGTGATGGTTATGGGCCTTGGGGTTGATGGCCAGTGGGTGTGCTGTACTGGGGCCTGGGTGTAGGTGTTGCCACCGATCGTACAACGGAAGTTTCTCGGCCAGTCACAGAATGCTGTGTTTGAATTGAAGACAAGACCTTCCGCACACATGGTTTTGTAGGCTGTCTGTCCGGCACAGATGTAATACTCCTGGCAGTCGTAGGGGCTGGCGTAGAAGCCGTCGGGTTTGCCGCCGCAGACGAAGTCTTGGGAGTGGGCGATGCTGCCGTGTGATCCAGGGGCTGAAAAAGAGATGGGGTAATAGCACAGTGTGTGGAACTGAGATGGGTTTTTTCCGCTTTTTGCAGAATTCAAGTAATGTATAACAGGGATGAATCCAGAGACTGTATATTGTGTACATATTCATAACTAATCATTTTCATTTTATTCTTATTTCAGGTGATCCAACAGACGACTATCTATACATCATATATACGTTGCAATTAGTTTACGTAAGTCTTTATGAAGGCATATGTTATTCAGATAGGTTTATATATATGAAGGCATGCGTTCATCAGATGTTCATACCTATATATATGAAGGCTGTGTATTTATTGCTTTTACAGAGTGTTTCTTCCACTACGACCCGTGAAGGTCCGGGTTAGAATATTGGTCTTCAGTAACCTGTGCTTGTCGTAAGAGGCGACTAACGGGATCGGGTGGTCAGGCTCGCTCACTTGGTTGACACATGTCATCGGTTCCCAATTGCGCAGATCGATGCTCCTGCTGTTGATCACTGGATTGTCTGGTCCAGACTAGATTATTTACAGACCGCCGCCATATAGCTGGAGTATTGCTGAGTGCGGCGCAGAACTAAACTCACTCACTCACTCTTCCACTACGGAATAAAATATATTAAACTCACAACCCGTAACCTGTGGTTAATTACGGAGGGTAACGCCACTATTTCATGGCTGCAACAAATGCAACATCGAAAGACACGATCAGCAGGCTTCACGCAGGACCCGTGACGGGAATCGAACACGGACCTTTGGTGTGACGAGCGACCACTCGGCTACGCCGCCACCATATATAGATACGGAATTTTACGAGCGTAATCTAGCTCTTTAAAAGATTTACACTCGCAAGTTGTAAATGTATCCTCAGATGTGAGCATTTACCTCATCTTCACACTTTACGGAAACCTATTACACTTTATGATGTGCATTAACATATAAGGGTTTGCTCTTCGATCATTGCTAACGGTAAACTAGAGATGATAACTTAGACGAGGATATACTTAAACTGCTATTAGACTGATAACTGAACACTCTGTAGTCCGTCCTATATTCAGCAAATATCTAATGGTGTTAAACATCATTAATAGTACAGTCATGTATATCCGTTTCCCGCCACCGTTGTTTTCTAGCAGCTTTCTGAACAGAATTTAAACAAGTTCAGTTGATCTCATGTTCCCCTATAGTCTGTCGCTTTAGGAACTCGTTTTTTGCAAGTAACGTTTACACAGCAGAAGGTGTTAACATGTTACAACATGCGACACACATTGCGACATCGTTGGTAGCTATTCCAGTACTTGCCAGTACTCCCTTGTGAGAGAGTGAGTGAGTGTTTACATCGCATCGGTAATATTACAGCCATATAGCGATGAAAACAAGGTAATCAATTTAAAATATCTGTCGACAAAGGACAGTAAAACCAACTAGACTATCACAGATATGTATGTAAAACTAGTAATTAAATCCAAAAGACTTTAACTGTAGAGGACGACACAATATAAAAAAACAGGCTATAGATCGCCAACAACTAAAGGTAGATCACCATACTAGGGACCATGGGAGTACTCCCTTGTGAAAATGTTGCTTTTGTCACAAACTTTATATGATAGTTTCTTAAGTAAAATCTTTAATAGTTGACATATATTTTAGAAATTCGATATCCAATTAGGTCGTCAGATATCATCATTAATTGACCTAATTAAAGTTGGATACCTTCTGTTGTTTAAACCTAACTTGCAAAACTGACTGACTGACTGAGTTTGATTTTACGCCGCTTTTAGCAATATTCCAGCAACATCACGGCGGGGGACACCAGAAATGGCTAACTTGCAAAAAAAAACGTGTTCCAAAAGTTAGGTTGATGGACTATAGCGGAACATTAGATCAACTGAACTATAAATTTTGTTTAGAAAGCTGCTAGAAAACAACGATGTCGTGAGACAGATACATGACTGAACTATTAAGGTGAAAGATGTTCCACACCATTACATATATGCTGAATATTGAATAAATATCTATTTTTTCAGATTTAGCCCAACTAAACGATGTTAACGATAGAGATGCAGGCATACATGTAATACATACGACAAAGAACTGAGTTGAGTTTGGAAAAAGGAACTGAAATCACATGAGATAAGAGAGGCCGCCATTTCTCTATGCAAGATCAAGGTCAAGGTCACGACAGGATTACAAATGGACTAGATCTTTATGTAGGAAAAATCATATTCTTTTGTGATGTATACTTTTCAAATGTAGTGGAATCACTAGAAGTATAACCAATGTCAATTCTAAGTTGGTATAGGTTCCAAACAACTCTGCCACTAAGCGGATCATCGAACGGCGTGGGTCAGTGCTGATGAAAATCAGTCAGTAGATTGTCTCGTCACAATCACATAAGTACAATGAACAATCATAGAGTGGAAATATTGCTTACTGTGACGTTTATAAACAAACAAACAAACAAACAAACAAACGAACAAATATGCAATAGATGTAAACGGCAGAACAACTTACTTGTGACTTGGGGTCGGTGTGTGGACGCCCCTGGCTGAGGTCTCGCCGTGGTCATCGCCGGGGCGGGTGTGTTCAGGCTGCAATGGGGACAAACCCAATTAGTTTTGTACATTGAAAATTTATTCAGTCAATTGTTGCCAGGACTGTGTCCGAAAATAATCTTCTGAAGTGTCCAAACGCACATAATTTCTCAGTTGGGATCAATATTTGATGATTTGAGTTAACCCGCAGTGTTGTGCGTTTACGTTTTGCAGATTAGAGATTCAAAGAATAGTGATGAGTGCGTTGTGTTTAAGCCGCCTTCTGCAATATATCAGCAACATCACAGCATAGAACAATACACCCGTGTGCATGGTATATTTGTTATATTACACGTTTTCAGTAAAGTACAGATTCTAGTACTTTCGTTAGTCCTATCCGGGATTGTGGAAGCCGTAATGGCTGATTGGGTTAGATCGCTGACTTTGCGTGTGTGCCATTAAATGCTTGACTTTTAGAGTTTGGGTTCGAATCCCGGGTGGACTTAACCTAACAAAAGTACAAGAATCTGTACTTTACTGAGAAAGTGTAATCACAAGAAATGAATACATTTTGTTACGTGTGTAGCGAATACGCTTCTGACAAACAAACCAATGAAGCCACCTGTTGAAGAAATGGGTCTCACACATCTGTTATTTGGAAACCTGTTATGTCAAATATTCTGGTCCTTATGACTACTGTATGAATTGCAATAACATACACTCCTCCAGATGTCTGGCATTCATTGTTGATAGCGTGCATAAGAGGGTATGGACCCTTTCCACATGAAGTCCCCTGAAGTCATCAAGGTCGATAGCCCAGATCATCACACCACCGAAGCCATTAGATTTTACGTAGCGGACCTAAGAAAAGAAATCATACGTTTAAAGCTGTTTCATTTAGCTGAAAACTTTGTTGATTGTGTTTTGGGCTTGATATGTAGCCTAGGGGAAAATCCCAAATTTACAGCATCAGTGACCAGGAGAATGCAATTCCCTATTTTATGATGTAAACTGTTGCCCTGCCTTTGCATGTGTTTGTGACGGAGTCACATATCGGACATATGTGCCTCCCGCTAACGCCTGTTACCTTCGTGATTTGTGATGGTGATTCGTGACCATCGTGAAATGGATGTGTTATAATTATGGAAATGTTATTTTTTCTGTACTCACAAAATAAAATCTGAAGGATGGATGCCGAAATCGTTCAGAAACACTTGACCTAATTCAACCTACCTAAAACCTAAGATTCACACTAGATAACATACTGAATATATTCACTTAAAATATATTTGATGAGAAATGTTATATCGTTATATCTATATATTTACACGCTATGACGCAATATACGCAAATACCATACAATGTACATTCGGTGGGTGTCAAATTGCAATGAATCTCTTAGTCTAGAACGTACCTTTTGTTTCAGACTTTCTTCATTATCATAACCGATCCACTGGTCACCTTTGACCAAGTATGGCACTTGCTGGTCAGTGTCCTGATGCACAACACCTCCGCTCTTGATCATGTTACAGATCTACACAACGAAAACGAATCGTAGTCATCTTGTGTAAAAATGCATATGTCATTAACACTATGTCATCGTATCACCATTACGTAGATCGATGCTCATGGTCCCAATCATTGGATTATCTGGTCCAGGTGCCGTGACATGGCAGGTGTTACTGTTGTGCAGCATCAGATAAAAATACCTCCATTTGGCGGGTGCTACCTTTTCGCGAACACCCGGTGTCATCACTCATCACAAAGAAACTGTTCTTTACTGTGTTATCGTCAACAATGATGACACATTCAAGCAGGTGTCCTCATGTGACAATTTGGGGTTTATGCTGTGGACACCATGTAATAACGACGTCTCTTGTGAGCGAATCATCAATAAAGCATCTGTACCATTTACAGCCTGTTAAGCACAGAGAATCTACCAAACAAACCAGTGGTTGAGAGCATGAGCAACTGTACACGCCATCAGCACACGATGACATGGTCTGACGCGGTTGGTTAATTCTTACCAGCTCTGTACAGCGAGAGCCTCATCATAACAGATTAAGCTGGTGAATTACTATACATAATGATGAAAACATTAAGCAGAATATGTTGAACAGTATGTTGAACATCAGTATCACGGCTTGAGACATCAAAACTAGGATCAGACATAATACCACTCCAGGGAATCGAACCAAGGCCTAGTGGTTACGAACGAATACTTTAACCACACGAACCGTATTTCTTACAGCGTTTGGCATCTTGTGAATTCTTTATTTCACCAAAGGGTAGACGTTCAACGTATTCTTACCTCGTAGTAAGCGAGGAATCCTCCTTCTCTGGTGTACTGGCCTGCTTGCCCCTTGCTTCTGGTGGGATCGCCGACATGGTCTTGAGAGGGGGACTTGAGAGTAAATGTCCTCCCATATGTCCCCATTCCGATCACAAGTTTGTCCTTGGGCGCTCCCTTCGAAACCCAGTACTTGGCGGCCCAGTCCTGAAACAGAGTTACACAAGGAACTGACGATACTTCCATGGGTGACAAGACAACGATTACTACTTTGTTCATCGGTTGAGTACATCTTCCGTGTTTTTGTTATGCCGCCTTTGCCTCTGTTGGCCCGTCTGCTTTGTTGTGTCCTCTTTTGGACCGTGTGTTTTGTTGTAGCCTCTTTTGGACCGTGTGTTTTGTTGTAGCCTCTGTTGGACCGTTGGTTTTGATGGAGCCTCTGTTGGGCCGTGTGTTTTGTTGTAGACACTGTTGGGCCGTGTGCTTTGATGAAGCATCTGTTGGACCGTGTGTTTTGATGTAGCCTCTGTTGGGCCGTGTGCTTTGATGAAGCCTCTGTTGGGCCGTGTGCTTTACCTCTGTTTGGCCGTGTGTTTGGATGTAGCCACTGTTGGACCGTGTGTTTTGTTGTAGCCTCTGTTGGGCCGTGTGTTTGGATGTAGCCTCTGTTGGACCGTGTGTTTTGTTGTAGCCTCTGTTGGGCCGTGTGTTTTGTTGTAGCCTCTGTTGGACCGTGTGTTTTGTTGTAGCCTCTGTTGGGCCGTGTGTTTGGATGTAGCCTCTGTTGGACCGTGTGTTTTGTTGTAGCCTCTGTTTGGCCGTGTATTTGGATGTAGCCTCTGTTGGGCCGTGCGTTTTGTTGTAGCCTCTGTTGGGCCGTGTCCTTTGATGTAGTTTATGTTGGGCCGTGTGTTTAGTGGTTTAGTTTACCCGCAGTGAGATACATAACCACTTCTACAACTCTCCGATGGAGACACGTATCGATGTACCCTCTATGCTTGTTTATGTTTCCTTATGCATACTGCGGTGCGAATCGATGCGCTAATACCACAGTTTGGCATTTACTCACAACTTAGAGTTACTCCCCCTGGACCTATTTCAGTCTGCCAGATCATTAATTCGGGATACAATTTTGCAATTGTCATGTACCAAATGACTATTAGGCAGTAACTGTTGAGCAGGCGATTCGAACTGGGAACATAAACAATGTACCGTACCTGTTAGCATAGTACATTAAATATAAATGAATCAGAATCCGGCATCAAGGTTTATGGTAAACTAAGGTTTACAAAACGCCATTGAGCAATTTAACTCAAGTATGTACATGCAAGGTAATGTAATTGTACATTCCACACGTTTCCACCAATGCCGATGGGGGTAGCCTAATGGTTAAAGCGTCCGTTCGTCACGCTGAAGATCCGGGTTCGATTCTCCACATGAGTACAATGTGTGAAGTCCATCTCTGGTATCCCCCGCCGTGATGTGGCTGAAATATTGCTAAAGGCGGCGTAAAACTATACTCATTCACTCGCTCATATTTCGATCGGCCGAATATATTTTTCAGAACTGCCTCGTTAAATCCTACAGCAGAAGCCTCAGTTGTTGATATTTGACACTTCAACACGCATCTGAATTATATTTGACCTTACACACATTTGCAGACGAATTGACTTTAGTGTGGATTTTTTTGTTGAGTCTTGTTAATAATTTATGCCACCATTCATCTGTCAGTTTAAGGGGAAGTAGTTCCCCGTTGTGATTTTCTCAGATAGCGCGATATCTCTTCGTGCGAGTGACGGCGTCTTTACATTCTGAAACCTCTGGGTTAACAATCAATATGCGGGTTGGAATTAAAAGGAATATATCCTCCAATGGAAGTGAGTGAGTGTGTCTAGTTTTCCGCCAATGTTAGCAATTTTCCAGCAATATCACGACAGGGGCTTCACACATATACCCATGTGGGGAATCGAACCCGGGTCTTCGGCGTGACGAGCGAACGCTTTAACCTCTAGACTACCTCATCGCCCTCCAAAGGAAAATTTGAGTCAAAAGGTTTATTTTGTCCCATCCCTCAGATCAGTGTTATCACCATCTTCCTCAAATATATCACACGTATTGATCCTATCTGTTCTTACCACGTTGAGATTGCGGTCATCTCCAGTCTCGCTGTGATCGGGGTACAGGGGGCTGTTCTCACCAGTGTGGGGCTCCCAGCTGCCGTGGAGGTCATAGGTCATGAGGTTGATGAAGTCAAGGTATCTGAAATATTAATAATACAATCGTCAGTGCAACAACCATCGTATCAACCCTTCTGACATCATCCCCTTTTGGGACTTCATCAAAGGGGGAATTCTTCTTGGTCGCCTCGATACCTGTAAATTTCAAGAAGAACTATTAACAATTATTATAAAGTTTTGAACTGCATCCGTAATACAAACGAGTGAGTGAGTATGGTTTAACGCCGCTTTTAGCAATAATCTAGCAATGTCACGGCGGGGGACACCAGAAATGGGCTTCACATATTGTACCCATGTGGAGAATCGAACTCAGGTCTTCGGCGAGACGCGCGGACGTTTTAACCATTAGGAAACATCACTTTATCTTAAAGGTGAACATTAGTACCATTTGATAAATTGTAGGTTGTTTTTAAAACGAGTTTTGCAAGAACGAGAAACGTAAATTGCGTTATTCGTGTACCATCTGAAACAATACAGGCATATATCTTTCGCATTGTTCCAAAATAAATATACGAGTGTTTACTTAGGTACAACATAACGAATACTAATCTTAGATCTTCATAGGCACAAAATTACAAGAATACAATACACGTTACATACCCTCGTATACCCAACATACATACCGAACAATTTAAATATTGATATTATTGGTGGAAATACACCCGTTACGACCTCGGTGATGCACGGGTGCTGTCAGTATACGTACTTGGATATTTGAGGGATGTCGTAAGCGGTATCTATGTTGGGTTTGCCCGCAGCGACGGCGGCAGTAAGGAGGAGTTCAGGTTGGCCGGTGGACTGGGCATCTTGTTGGAACACCGCTTTCACTTCCTGATTTAAACATGCAAACAAACAACCCAGTTTACATTCAGCGTAGAAACGTAAATGCCTGTAATGGTGAGTGGGTGAGATGGGTTTAACGCCATTTGAACCATTCAGACCATGGCGTCTCAGTCTGATGTTGATCAGGTTTTAGACGTTTGCCACTATTAATGAAATCCATGAGCACTGGAATGCTGATTACTGACAAAAACGAAAGACAGCAGAATCAGAGCTTACCGCGTACCGGGGTTCGAGCCCACAGATTTCTGGCTTCCTAATTGAGGAAATTGTGGCGCCATTGACGACTTGGTCACGTGTCTTTAATTGCAATGTCAGGATATGGAGTAGTAGATCAATACATCTAACAAATATGTCCCTTGTGTGCAATTTATGAACTGTCAATGGAAATCAAGATTGGCCACGACTGAAAGAAAATCAACTTTCCTTTGTCGGAACGGGCTTTGTAAACTCTGGTGTCCCTTACTAGTTTCCAAATAATTAAATACACAATTACATACATACATACATACATACATACATACATACATACATACATACATACATACATACATACATACATACATACATACATACATACATACATACTGACATACATACATACATACATACATACTGACATACATACATACATACATACATACATACATACTGACATACATACATACATACATACATACATACATACATACATACATACATACATACATACATACATACATACATACATACATACATACATACATACATACATACATACATACATACATACATACATACATACTGCTGCTGCTGCTGCTACTACTCCTACTACTACTACTACTACTATTTTCCCCACTCTGAATATTATGCAAAAGGCATAATACCTTTGGTGTTTAACGCCAGTCAGCAAATTCCAGCTATTTGACGGCGGTCTGTAAATAATCGAGTCTGGACCAGATAACCTAATGACTGACATCATGAGCATCAATCTACGCAATTGGGAGGCGGTGACATGTGCCAAGTCAGTCGCCGCTTACGGCAAGCATAGGTTGCTGAAGACCAGTTGTAACCCGGATCGTCACGGCGAGACAGAACAGCACGGGAGGCATGATCAAGCCACTCTCCTTCACTCACTCTCCACACTCAGGATTACCTTCAGAAGCTCCACATAGTTTTGTTTGTCGACGGAGGGACTGCCTCTGTTGGCGGGATACTCCCAGTCTATGTCTAGACCGTCAAATTTCAGGCGTCTCAGGAACTTGACGGTGGAGGTTGCAAAATCGTGTCTACTGGAAGACGAACTGACCATCTGAGTGAAGGTAGCCGACCCCATGTTCCACCCTCCTATCGACAGCAGGATCTTCACGCTTGGGTTCTTGGACTTTGTGGTGTCGTGGAACTTCTCATACCTTAGGAACAATTTATATCCACTGTTACATACCCTTGTGAAAGGCTAAAATATCGAGTTATATATTTTATATGTGCAAACTATACAAAGTATGTATTGGAAAAATGTAAATTTATAACTAAGTATAGCTCGTATCTATGAGGAAAAAGTGACGATTTTTGAAATTGTTGATTATGTAAAATTCAAATAATGTTTAGAACCTGATCACAGTCACTTTTACCGATGATTATATATCAAACTCTGCCTGTGAATCCTTTACAATGGCCTTTCACATCCTGACTCAATCCTTTAACCTTACTGTTAGGCCACATTGTATAAATTTCTTGTTTTTCATCACTTTTTTTAAAATACGGGGGATTTTATTTTTACTTTTTAACATTTTCTTTCTGATTATCTACACGATGTAAATCGAAAACTTGTAATGCTGGAAGCTGAGGCGGATTTCGGAAGTCTGTCGGATTTATACATGCAAATTTATCAGTGCAAAAAATAAAATTTAAAATTAGGGTCGGGCCAAATTTTAGGGTCAAACAGTAATGAGAAACAAGAAATTATTATTATGTGGCCTTATGATGATACGGTATATTTAGTACCCCTTTCATGGAATGGCGTAAAGGATCGTGATGTGAAATATTTCAGTTTTCACGGGAACACTTTTCGCTTGGCCTCTTGGCCATAGGGCACGATGTTATTAAGCAAATTCCGCAATATTCAGTTTTTTTAGAGAACTGTGTGCCTGTGAACGCTGGCGTAGAGATGTGAACTTACATCCCCTTCATCCAGTCAGTGGACTCGTCGTTCCACTCAAACGCCTTGATCTGATTCCCCTGTAGTTTAGCGAAGGCATAGTTGATGTGAGTACACAGGGACGAGTCGATGTTTTCGGGGGTAAACTTCCCGGCCCCCGGTCTATACTGGGACCAGTTTGTATGGTAACAGACAACTCGAGGACAACCCGCACCTGTAACCAGCCGCACAGACAGAAACATGAATCAGATGTAAACAAATATCTAATGAGGTATGCAGCAATGATGTTTTGAACTGGGGTCAGCGATCGCTTTTAGCGGCAATCCATCGATCGCTCGCCTGAGTGATTGCCCTTTGCCAAGGGAAAACGTTTCTCGTCTATGCCACGAGACCTTAGACTGGGCTCCTGTCTTTCAATCTGATGAACATTCGTGACCAACTCGTGTTATTCCGGGACAAGCCGAATAGCGACTTATTGGAGGTTACGGAAAGAAGTGGTGACGAATGTCTGATGAAGAGAGTTGAGCCTGCGTCACAAATCAACAGCAGAAACTGTCTAAAGAAACGACAGGTTTGATTACAACATAGATGGTGACATGCCCTATGCAGCGACGAAATGAAATAACGTAATCGTCCTGAGATATGCGGCCAAAGCCAATGGTTCTGAATGCGGGAAATGACCTCAAGCAGCAGAGGTCAACAAACACAGATATGTAAACTGATCCTGCATGGGCATTGTTATTTTAGTCCGCAGTTTCTGTGAAATGACGGCCGTATTTATACGACACCACAGTATCCAAAAGGAAAGCGATTTAAGCACTTGCAGTTTTCATGTACCCAATGATATTAAATGGCCTTCTGTGTTATGTGGGTTGTCGAGTGAAGCAGGTCATAACTCCTGCCACTGAGTGAGTGAGTATGGTTTTACGTAGGTTTTTTTCCAATATTCCAGCAGTATCACGGGGACACCAGAAATAGGCTTCACATATTGTACCCATGAGGTGAATCGAACCCAGGTCTTCGGCGTGACGAGCGAACGCTTTAACCACTAGGCTACCCAACTGTCCCAATTCCTGCCAGTTCTTCAGTCATATTGCGGTTATCTTAGTGTAACGGTCGAAGATCTGTTCTATCAGTGTATCATAATCGTGCTTAAGTTGCTCTAGACTACCTCTTAGGTTGGGCGTCTTGGGCTCAAGGGTCTGAGGCATTACCCCTCACTAGCAGAGTTGTGTGCCTTGGCTGCTACCGATCAAAGGTTCGAATGTCGGTTTAGTTTTCGAATCTCCGTTTGTCAGCTCTTTACACATGGCCCTGGATTTCACCTGTATGACAAACCTCTACGATCTGTCCTACTTCTTAAGCAGGCATGATGGTGTTACAACTAGTTGAAGAAGGGTTGAAGTTAAATCACTCTTGACGTAACTCATTGTATTAATATATACAGCAATAGGCTGTAATATACAATGTACATTTACTTGCCAGTAAGGCGTATGAGTTCAAACAGATACGCTGAACAGAACCATTTCATTTTACGACGTTTTCATGTGTTTGATTGTGATAGACATTTACTTGCCAGTAAGGTGTATGAGTTTGAGCAGATACGCTAACATTTCATTTTTCATTTGTTTGATTTTACACAATTTCGGAACACATTCTAGTGTTAAACCGAGTGACTCCACTTTGCTGAAGATACATAAGGCAATACTCACACACTCACGCACTCACTCATTGACTCACTCATTGAATCAGTCGCTCACTCACATTTCAGACGACTTACCATATGCTGTGCTTGCCACACAAGCCAAAATGGCGAGCAGCGTTAATTTCATCATCTGAAAACATAACATTGAAAACACATAAGGCATGTCTCAGAAGGCCTTATCATTTAATTTTCTGAAATCGATTCTGGAAATCCAAATACGCTTCTTATCTATGCATTAATGGCATCTGGTTTAACAGTTGCAACAGACACGTGGAATACGACCACCATCGTGTTTTCAAAAATGTGTGTGTCCAAAACGTAAAATTACGCGAAATATTTTGGAATAGAGAAATATGTACCTACCTTGTCGTGAGATGACGCCGTCTGGTAATTTAGCTCTAAACCTTTATATCAGTCCGACCTAGGTCAATTATTATCTGATATAAGATTACGCTTTGGTCAGCAAAACAGTGCCTTTGTCACACGCTTCATTCCACGTTTAGAAAATATTCACATGCATGTAGATATCAACGGGTAAAGTCGGGATTAGATGCTATATCGCGACATAAACACGTCATCACTCCGAGTCGTTTAATTTGATTGATTATGTAACTGAAGGGTTTCTTTATCGGCCTTTTTATTTTATTTTTTACCTTTTGGTTCAGGCGCTCCTGAGTAGTTCCCCGGGGGCGTCGTAAAGTGTTTTAGTTCTGGGCGGGACGAGTGTTATACAATTGGGGGACGCTCATTAATTATTTTGAGGATGTGGGGGTTTTGGGAGAGGGGGAGCAGAAATGAGGAAGATAATTCATGGGAGGGTTGTGTCAAGGAACGTCGGCACGGGTACATCAACGATATGCAGCTGCATATGTTACTGCAACGATATGCAACCAAACAATGAAAATGACTTGGTTTCCTGAAACCTGAAAACCATCCGTATAGTGGGTAATTGGGGAATCCAGTTGGTTTCCATTCACTGAAACTGAGTAACTGAGTTTCCAACTAGATTCCATTTTGGATTCTTTGATTTTTGCATTTCTGTAAATGGAAACCAACAAGAAACTAAGGTTATAGGTTTCTTGTTGGTTTCCATTCCTGGAATTTGCAATTGAAGTTTCATTAAATGGAAACCAACATAAAACCAGAATATGTAGTTTCATGTTGGTTTCCTGTGCACTGTTTTGAACTAAGTAACTTCAAATTTGCAAGTATTTGGCATGTAGTTGACCATCCTGGCATCCAGTTGGTATCCATTCATTGAAACTGGGTAACCTAGTTTCCTAATAGAATCCATAATGGATACTGTAAACTTATAGTTCCGGTAATGGAAACCAACAAGACACTATGGTCTAGTGTCTACTGTTGGTTTCCATTCCTGAAACTTAGTTTCGAAGATTAACTACTTTCATATCATATTACATTATCAGTAATTGCGTAGAATAATTATGAGGTCTTAAAATTCAAAATGAATATGCCTGGGGAAGGAATAGCAGATTTACATTTGAAAGAGTACGTAATTTGTAAGATTGCTTAGATGAACAAGAAGAAAGGTTACCCCAAATAGTTGTTGACGCATCATTCGGTGGATAATAGCCAACTTTCATAATGTGTCCTCAAACTGATGATACAAAAAAAAAAGACACATGTCATTTCTTCACATTCATTTTTATTTACTATCAACTCATACATGTGATAGGCAGAGAAATGAAGCAGTATCATGTTTCTGCTGCCATACACACAAACACACAAACTTCACAATAATCATACTAAACATACAAATGGTGGGATAACGGAACAACAACTATAAAATGGCCTTTGTCCAGCGCCGGGCACACTTCTCAGTTGTATTTTTTGTTTGTTTTTTTTCTTGTTTATTTTTTTTGTGTAGTAACACCACTCTTTCAAAATTTCTATTTCTTCTATTTTTCCCCCTCATTTCTTAATAAGTGTACTACCCCGTCGCCGAAATATCTTAGTTGTGCGTGCGACGTTAAATAAAGCAAATAACTACTACTACCAGGCACACTTAGTCTGGATTGGGATAAATGAGGCAGGTCCAGGGTTCAGTTGTCTGCTTTGCCAAACTGAGGATGAGACACTTTCTTTATCTAAAAATAAAAAATAAAACAATGATAAATATATACAAGAATAACACTTTGAAAGATGAATTGACTCAGCATTTAAAAAGGTACATTGGTCAAACTTTATATTTACATGGTTTTGTTGAACCAAGATGTTGAGTGTGTGGAAAGAACTGATATTGTGGGACACCAAATCACTATACTGTTATAAGTTTGATATATATGACACATGAAGTGTTTCACGTGTGTACGACAATAACTGTGAAGTCTGACAAGCTTAGATGAACAATCATCAGTTATCAAATTTTATCATTTATTACAATCTTAATTGTTATTAAATACCAATTATTTATCGTCATTTCATATCATGGGGAATTTTGAAAATCTAAATAGATGGATGATATTCTACGATGAGTAACAATTTTCACTGTAGTAATGAAAAATCGTAAACGTCAAAAAGTGAAATTTGAGGGGAAAATCGGTTTAATTATGTTTGCTTTAGAATGTGAAAGAGTATAAGCATTTAGGAAGTTTAGTATAATGTCATTCAAACAATTGTCAATCCGGTACATACATTACGGATTTCTCAATAACTAGAATATCAGGGAATTAAAGGGCCACTGATGCAGAGCGATTCTTGTTTCGAGCCAACGTGTTAATTGCCGCGATCGGCTGCCGGGTGGGCAGTGTCTGCTCTCTCGACCGTGACAGACACCGGGACTGGGCATCTGACCACCTCGGCAGACTTGTCATTCGAGTCGTCGCGACGGGGAACCCCCTTTCTGTTATCTGAACGCTGATTGGTTCGTTACACCCTTATCTACCCAGTCCACAAACATGGACGCCAGTCAACATGGCTAGTTTACAGGACATCGTATGCAACTGCAAAAACACGTGTACCCGTGTATCGAAGAGAGGATCGTGTCCGTGTCGTGCCGCCGGGAAACCGTGCACGAGTTTGTGTTCTTGTGGATGGATGGTGCCATGCATCAACAAGCCAGAATGCAAGCCTCCGAAGCCGATCGATGATCGACGTGGACTTGAGTGATTTCGCCGATCGCGAAGTCCTCAGCATGGCACGAGACGTACGTTATACGTTGTTACTTGCATATATTTTAATATTTATATATATATATTTGTCTTCACTAAATGATTACGCAAGATTATGCACACACACAAATTTGATCTTCGTATAATGTCACCAAAAGGTAAAGCATCATGTCAGTTGAAGATTAGAAATTCGTTCACCACAATGACAAAATAGTATTTGAATTATCTTTTTTAGTATTTACTATAAAATATAGTTTCTGAATATTTGTTTTACAAAAAATTCCTTGCAACGGTTGATTGCTACAGTATTACACTTGCTGACAATCTCAGCAGATTCTCAGCACGGTTTATGTAAATGTAGTTTCTCATGGAAGCATGTTATTATTTTATCTTTCTCACAAAAGTTAATATGATTTCAGGACATGGATGGTAACATTGATCACACCCCACTTCTCCCAAAACCCAACCAAAAGAGGCCGAGGAAGGCTGCAGCTGATACTCTTGTGCGCAGAAGGCTCGAGGTTGACCAAATGCAGGTAATGTGCAGGATAAGCTAAGAAATTCTAATTCACACATGTTCACAGAATGACAGCACAGATAAGGAGCTGGGATCTGCACCTTTTTTTTGCTTGACTCTAATTCTATATCTCTATGTTCAGGAATTGGCTGCATTAGATGTCACGGGACTGCGGACTGTTGTGACAGAACTGCTGTTTCGGGATACGACCTACCAAGATGGTGCAGGTGTGGCAACTGTAGGCCCATGCCATCAGCGCAAGAGGACAAGTGCTGCTGGCAGACTGGCTCGTCCCAGTGTATAGTGGACGGGCCAAACTTTTACACTGTAATTTCACCTGCAGTGCTTAATATCGCCATGACACACTACAACGACTTCTTTGTCCACGATCAAGAACGGAACAATACAACCTACAGATACCAAGCCTACAGACAATTTACGTTACAAAGGTTTGGACATTTAGGTCATGGAAACAGACGTGTGTGGTTTTGGCTATACGTTGGAGGTTTCCAGATCCCAGAGGTATTTACATACCGTTAGGCTACAAAGCAATGTAAATTAAACCATTTTGTATATTTTTTATGTTTTGTATATATTTTTTATGTTTTGTAAATATTTTTTATGTTTTGTATGTATTTTATATGTATATATTGTATGTTTTGTATATATATTTATTGTCGTGTGTTTTATGAATTGAATGAAATGAAATATTAATATTATGAAAGTTGTTGATTTATATCTTAATCCTTGATTGAAGTGAAACCAATTGTTGTAACCAACTCACCATATCTAACCAGACCATACACACACAAAGTGGAGCTGTTATCTGACTGATTGGCAAATAAATCTACATACCTCAAGAGCAATTACAAACAGAGTGAATCTCAGGTCATAAATCTAGGCGCACCTGTGTGTAATTCATTAGGTATGTTACATATACCACATCACATGTATGGGTGTACTGTCACAACATGTATGTGACGATAATTAATACACAAGAGTTGAGCAATTACTAACAAAGTGAATCTAAGGTCATAAAATCTACATACCTCATTATGAGCAATTACTTACAAAGTGAACCTAAGGTCATAAATCTAGACACAACTCTGTGTAATTCATTAGGTATGTTACATATACCACATCACATTTATGGGTGAACTGTCACAACATGTATGTGACGATAATAAATACACAAGAATACACAGTTATGCCGGTAATGATATATATATTTATTTAGAGTGTACATTCCACAATAGGACTCAACACATAGGAAATAACAAATGATTGCTGGGATTTAGAGCCAATATGGACAATCGTTATCATAATTACAAAATGTAAGGTAGATGGTCCAAAGACAATAGTTTAAATATCTATCTGGGCGTGGAACTGAATGCAGTCTAAACTCTTTCACTTCTTGAATCGCGTCAGACACTGATTTACAAGTTCTGCCATTGGGGGACAGGGTCTCTTTGCAATTGTTGACGATATACGCCTGGGATCGTCATCGGCCATTGGTATTTTCCCTTTCAGGCCTCCAGTCTGCTCATTTTGTCTTTGCTGGAAGGCCAGCATCTGTAGGTCCCATCTGTATGAGCAGTTCTTCTCGACTTTGGCAGTCCTTGGTCTCCAGCGCTGGGTTCTTTTACTGTACACAATATCTACAATGTAATAATAATAAAGTAAGGTAATATGTTAGCAACTTTGGTCAATGTCTAATACATTTCATGGCAAAAACCTGGTACCCTCTATTTCTGTAATAGGGAGGAAAGACATTC